TCAGCTATCGTCAGAGTCCGACATTCCTCCATGAACTGCAAAACCAGGTATTCTCACTCCTTTAACTAACAAAACATGGTTGTGTTGATGTGGACGTAACATGAAAAAACACTTGAAAATAAAGAGAAGAGAAGAGAAACTCACTGGTCTCATCTCCCCCTTCCTCGACTTATCTTCTTCCTCCAGCCCCCCTGTCAACCATGGCTGACGGACATGGGCTAATTGGGCTATTGGGCTACTGGTCAGTGTCGGACGCTTGTTTCCTTTTGAGCACAGGGGCCGATTGGCCGTAGCGATTGACGACGGTGGGTTACTGGGCTCATGCATGTCAATGCGTGTGTTCTTGGACTGGGCCAGACCAGACTAGTCGCCTCGCCGTGAGCGGTTCGAGCTCTGCTGGCAGGACGTACGCCTACGCGTGGGACTCGCGCGGCCTACAAAAGTTTGCGCGTGGTGGGCACACGAAAGGCCCACAAGAAATCTTTGGCTACCTGCGGCCCGCCCCACTTGCATGCACCCTTTCTGGGCTGTAGCCCGCCGATCCGCCTACAATCTACATCGCGGATCTTTACTCCTCGCACTACGAGATTCCCCTTTTTTTATTTTTGGAAAGAAAACTACGGAGGGGCGAGATTTTTTCTTTTTCTTTCCAAACGTCGCTAATGTTGCATGCATGCACGCGACGCCTGCTGATTTTCTTCCAACGTCTCGAAGCAATGATGCATTCATTCATGGTAATTATGGTTATAAATAAGTCAATCAGTGCTGAACCGGTTATGGTCTAGCATGCACATTTTATTATATATATAAATGGAGGGTAGCTCCTCTCTCATTATATTGCTCACGCCCAACGCAAATTTCCTCTACATTATTTTGCTCGTATCCACACCGCTACGCATACAGTTTACAGTCGCAAATTGAAGATCCAACATGAAGCAGGAGGCCAGCAACGTAGCGATGATGATGACTAACAGCTTGTTCGGGAGGCCGTATCGTATCGTGGATTATTTACTGCTGGCTGGTTTGGTGTGAGAGAAAAACACTGTTTCTGGCTAAAAATTTACGATCGTTTACGAGCAAGCGAACAGGCTGCAAGTTGTCCTCGCTGCTGCTCGCTAGTACAATGCTTTTATTTAGATCTTGTGTGGTGGATGCTAGCAGGAGTTCTATCGCCGCCGCCGTCGCTCCTTCCGACGACTCCAGGGCGGCATCGCCGCCGCCATCAGAAGACACCAGCAAGTTTGTCGTTATTTTCTGCGCCCAGTCGAGGTGCGGTTACTTCGATCATACCGGCGATCCTTACTGCTACTGCTGCCCGGACCAGAGTCGGGTCGAGTATTGCCACACAACGATGGATGACTGTAGGGCCCACTGTGCCGCCTGCAGGCCCAAATGCTAGCTTGTCGCCCGGCCTAGCAAGCCATCTCTCTCTCTCTCCCCCCCTCTCTTTTTCTCTCTTATTCGGTGATGCGTCGTTGCAGGTTGCAGCAATGATCCAACTGCCATGTATGCATGCGTCGTTGGTTGTTTCAATCGATCAATTCCCTTGGAGACAATAATAATTTGATTTCTTCGATCGTGCTCCATTGCGCCTTTTTCTTTATTTCATTCACCTGCGCCGCCTGGTTCGTTCTGTCGATCTTACTTAGTTCTCTTTTGTTTTGGTTTCGATTAATTATTATCTCCATTTGCCATCCGAGAATCTCGCGTTCATTCACAACACATATATCATATATGTGGTCAGTCGGTCAGCAGCATTTAATTTCTATTTGTTTTTGCATTGAGGGCCGGGCGACGCCGACGCTAGCTGTTCAAACAAGTTCAAAGCAAATCGATCATTCACAATTGCAAAAATGCTCCACAGTAGTCGACTTAGTTCAGCGCAATCATCCACAGTTTTCCGCGGCGTGATCTTGACTTTCGCTTTTATTTATTTGAGTGGAGAGTGACCACCACTTGTTTTTCGATAATAATGTGTACGGGTCGTCTGGGCGGCCGCACGCACTGAACCCGCGCGCTCTTATCCTATCGCAAACGCACCCGACCGAGCGCTGAACCAACCCACCCGTGCCGCATGTCGCTCCCGCACTCATTCCTTATCCTCTCGACTACTCATTCCCGGAGCGCCTGCCCGCTCGCCGGAACGGACGCCGCGGGCACCTCGCTGTTGCCCCGACCGCCCCCTCCCTTTGCACGACCTCCATATGACCCTGCGCTCCCAGCGATCCCGCTCCCGCTTCCCCCACCGGAGACGAGGACGACGGCAGCGGCTCCGACGAGGTAGGTCGGTTCTTCTCTAGATCTGAGCCCTCCTCCTCCTCTGGATCTGAGCACTCCTTCTCCTCCTCCTCCTCTGGATCTGAGGGACGCGGCAGTGGCTAGGGTTTAAGCGAGCTCTAGAATCCTATTCTCTCCTCCCTCCGGCGAGCTCAAAGGTGATGGGCCAGGGGGCTGTTTTGTATGCTTTTTTTGTTGTTTCTCCCGTGTTGCAATTGGTGTTTTGGGATGTTGCAACAGATGATTTTCGAATGTTGTAATGGAATTTTTGGGTCGTTGCAACAGATGTTTTTGCAATGTCGCAGTATTAGTGCTTGAGATGTTGCAATACATAATTTTCGATACTGCAGCACATATATTTTGACGTTGTAGTACATATTTTTTCGATGTTACAGTACATGTTTTTTGATGCTACAGTACATATTTTTCGATGTTGCAGTACATATTTTTTCGATGTTGCAGTACATATTTTTTGTTGTTGCAGTACATATTTTTCGATGTTGCAGTGCATGTTTTTAAATGTTGCACTGCATATTTTATCGATGTTGCAGTATTTACAACCGGATGTTGCACTACATAGTTTTTCCATATGTTTTGCAATGTTGCAGTTGAGTGTTTCATGCTCTTTTGGGACAGGGGTGCGGTGGAGGAATGGGGTGCTTACTGGGAACGGGGGGGGGGGCGATGGGTAGCGGAGGATGTGGGCGGGTCCCGCTCTATTCCGTTCCATGCGTGGGGGAGGCGGGGTTCTGTCTTGCTGCAGGGTTCTGTGAGGACCGACATCCGACGCACTTTTCGCGTCTTGGGACGTCCGGCGCTAGAATCACCGCTTGTTTTTTTAGGGATTGCGCAAACACACAAACACGCACGTGCCTTCGCCCCTCACTGTAAACACCTCCTATCATTGCGAGCACCTCTAGAGACAGAGCCGATATATCTTGAGATTGACAAAATCGTCGCTCGAGATTGTTGAGTCATCACTCCTCATTGCTGACGTTGCTTACCACTTAGGGCTCCTTTGGAATGGAGGTGAAACAAAGGAAAAATATAGGATTGAAATACCATAGCAGCCTTTGGTTTGTAGGAATTCCTCATAGGAATATTTAAAGGAAACTTTCCTATAGGAAAGCTATAAGAAAAAACAATCCATTTAGACCTCATGGAAAAATTCCTCTGCACAAGTAACAATGCAAACAATGGATTTATGGGACCAGCTTGTGTCTAATCATGAGAGTGGAATAGAATAAATTAGGTTGATTAAGAAGGCAATCACTATTTGCTCTCCTGAAAATCCTTTAAGATTCATGTGTTTCTCCTTTGCCTATCCAAACACCTGGGTATGAAAAATTCCTATGTTTTTTATTGCTCTGTTTTGCACTTGCATTCCTATTCTATTCCTACGTTTTTTTCTCTTTTCTGTGTTTTATCAATCCTATAATCCAAAGGAGGCATTAAAGAAAACGTTGTTATATCCTATAATAATAATAGCAGCACACATACCAAATCAAGAAAAAATGTGGTGGCCATGTTCCGGTACAATGGACAGGACTTAAGAAGCTTACACTTCGTTTGCAACTAGTACTTGTTCATCTCAACGGCTGGGGACCCTGGCGTGCCATGCTAAAGTCCTAAAATCCAGATCACCTAGCCGGAGCATATCTTTTTATCATTTTTCTTAGAGCAACTCCACTACTAGGCAGTAGCTTTGTAAATTAGAGGCTTGGGACCTGGGGCTTCACCTACTACTTTCTAGGCCTCAAATCATTCTCCCAACTCCGGCAACATCACTTGCTCCTTTTGCTCCCATATTTCAACATATTATCTCTCTCTTCCCAGTTTTGTTGTGGGCCTATTGTGCCGTCGGGCTGGCCCGGCACGGCCTAATAACCCTTGTAGGGCCATGCTTGGCCGTAGGCACAGCCTATGGGCTGGCATGGCATAGCACGAAGAGGTCGACGGGCGAGCACTTAGCTGACCCCTGTCTGGCCATGCCACCATCGCGCCTGGGCCGGGCGACCCGTTTGGCCATCTAGAGCTGTGCCTGATTTCTTTATGCCTGCACTTTGAATCGGGTTCTATTCTCTACGCATGCACGCACATTCGGAAGGGTATATTATACAGTTTGTATGAGTTGTTGCCGATCCGTACTTTTATCTCTTTGCACAAAGCAATCTCCGTGACTTGAGATGAAGGGTGGTGGCTTCTTCGTTTCTTCCGCTGTCGGCGAGTGGTTTAGGTAGCCGTTGTGCGTCACTTGCCCCAAGGCGCCCAACTGCTTCACCATCGATGATAGATCCCTGTCAACCTGAAGATAACCAAGAATATCTACTAGCATCCGTGTAAACAGAAAGAAAATGCAACTTTGTTCAATTGTCCCGCCGATTCCCGGACGCAGCACGCAGTTTTACCAAGACGAGCACGCACGCGCGCACTAGCTAGCTCATGCCCATTGGCAACTCTGTGTGTGAGTCTGCACCACAGCATGCAGCAGCCGGGCCGGGAATAATCCGTCCGTCGTCCGCGCCGGCGCTGACGCGGCCGGGCGATTCGGCCTCATCGTCCTCGATGACCTTGCACTTGCGGCTCTCCGTGTCCTTATAAACGCGCGCATTGCGAGCATAACTGCATAAGCCATATACTGTCACAAGTTTCGTCGTCGCACACGTCGCCGTCGCGGCTTCCCTCCTCTCCGACTCCGGCCGCGTGAGCACGTGGGAGCGAGGATGAGTGATCCGAGGTACGCCGGCTACCCATATCCGGCGCAGCGAGGTACGTGGCGCTTGGCTTACTTCCAGTTCTAGGCTTCTATAGCTACCGCTCTCCTCGATCAGCTCTGCGCCTCTGCCTGCAACAGAAGCTGGTGATGACGATATTCTGTCTCTTCTTGCCAAATTAAAGGTTACTACAACCAGGGGCAGTACCCGTACCAGGGGCCGCCGGTGATGGCGCCGCCGCAGTACCAGTACGCACAGCCGCCGCCTCGGTCGCCTGGATTCCTCGAGGGCTGGTACGTACTACTGCCGGCCATTTTGATTCCTACTTTCACCTCTGGGCTTGGTCTAGCTAGCTAGTTTCAGCGGAGGCCGGCGAATCATTTCAGCCGTTTTTACCCATCCCTCTTGGTGTCGGCTCTGGTGATTTTGCAGCCTGGCGGCGCTGTGCTGCTGCTGCCTCCTCGACGAGTGCTGCTGCGACCCTCCGTCGTCTTCGTCTCCTGAATCCTGAGACCTCGCCAGAGGCCAGACACCCAGCGCCAAAGGATGCCCGCGATTTGCTTTAGTTTACTTTCTTCTGTTTTCCACGACCATGAGTATGTACCAAACAGTGTGAATGTGTGAGATCTGATTTGTGCCAAACAGTGTTCTTACTGCTATTGCTGCCTGTATGGAAATCAAGTTTGATGAGTTTGTGTACCCGGATTTTTTTCAGGGAACTTTTGATTCTGGCTAGGAAATCGATCTCTGAGTTGTATTCTATCTTTGGAACTTATTCTGTTGTTATTTTTTTTATGAGAGGACTAATTATTTGCTATGATTTAGAGAATGCCGCTTTAATTCTTTTTTTTTTTGTGACTACCAGAGCACCAGTGGAATTGCACTGACGACGGTGACGGCTTCGACTATTATCGCTTTCCTTTTTCTTTCTTTACTACAGAGTATGGAGTACGAACTAACCATAGCTAGTGTATGCACTGCAATGAGCTACCCCTTCTCAAGCTGAGAACGAGCCAAGATGAGGAATCTGCGACAGAGGATCAAAAGACAGGAATAAAGCGACTACTAGTGTATGCATTTTCCATCCTCACCCTTGCCGAGCACTCTCAGAATCAGATTCCCGGATTCAATGATCAGCATAAACTGTTTTGTCCCAGTACTTTCAGATCGAATCAGATTCCCGAATTCAATGGTCACCATAACTTGTTTTAAGCATTCCAAGACAATATCTAGTAAGGATCCTTGAAAATAATCCTCATATGTACTAGTGTATGCATTTTCCAGCCTCACCCTTGCCGGGCACTTTCAAAGTCAGACTCCAGGTTTCAATGATCAGCATTTATAAACTCAGTTTCAACGAAGAAATCAATCAGGAACTTGATAGGAATTAGTTCAATTTCATAAGAAAAACTCAGAGATAGGGAAAATTTCTCGTGTTCCAAATGGGACCATTTTGGTCAGTAAGATTGTAATATATACTTTACTCCCCATGAGGGATCGAATATGGCTTCTTTAGTACGGAAGTACTAGTGCTTTACAGGGTGTTTGGTTTTAGGAATGTGTTAGTCATCATTTTCTCATTCATCACTTTTTTTGTTTGATTTGTGGAATGTAATAGGTTGATCCACCGTAACCTTATTCCTCACAAATTAATAATTAGTACTAGTTTGAGAAATGGGGCCGCTTCACCAAAATTGAGGAACACTAGTACAGAAAACTTAATGGAGGCAGGCCTTTTTGGTTAATGGAGGTGGGCAACGCAACCGCCTCCAATCAAAGGTCACAGTTAATCGGGACCTACGGAGACGGTTGCTTTGCCCGCCTTAGTTAATCGATTAACAGAGATGGTTGCCTTAATGCGACCGCCTCCCTTAGTAGTGGATTAACGGAGGTGGACGCCTTATGTTGCCCACCTCCGTTAACTTTTAACCAAGGCGGTCGCCCAGCCCGCCCGGCTCCATTAACTAAATGGTCGCGACCACCCGGCTTCATTAACTAAACGGTAACGCCTCCTAAAATCAATCATGTAGTAGTGGAATGGACTCATGATCAGGCATCACCTCATCTAGAATGGAGTAATTCATCGAACCAAACACCATATTAGTTTTCGATAAGACCATATTAAAACGCTGCGATCCTAAATGTAACTCCAATCTAATAGTTGGTTTTTCTTGTGGCTTGAAAGTTTCCTGATAGGTGCCTCCCTGCCATCTTTGTAAGCTACTCATCAGAAACTTAAGGCCAGCACAACTCTCAATGTAACAATTTATCCCAACATTTATGAGCTTCCTTCCGGGTGCTGACGAGTCCACATACCCTGAAAATTGTCCACGAACATCTTCTAGGGCCCAGTCCATGAGTAAGACAGTTTCTGGCCGAAGGCACTCGAACCAGTTGTTCCCTCAAAAAAGAAAAAGTTAATGGAACAGTTTCGAGTGCCATTGGAAAATAGATGCATTTGATGTCGTTGTTGCCTCCAGCGAGTTCAACAGTTGTCGAGTAGATTCGGAGCCATTGCCATGGTTCCTTGCGATCATACTTCTCAAGGTTGGAGGGTTTAAACTTGGGAGGGAAAGGGACAACACATAGTCATTTGGATAAGAAGGGGAATCGATCCGGCATGTCGGGTGCTCTGGGGGCCGACTCCGTGACCTGTTTGTGATTGTTGAGTTGATTGCGCAGATCACCTCCGAGTGGGTTAGCCGGATGATTGTCCCTGCCTCTCCTATTCGTTTAGGCTTGTTTGGCTAACTAAAAATACTATTGACTGATTTGGTGTAAGAGAAAAATATTGTTCATTGGCTGATAAGTCATGGCTTATAAGCCAAACACGACCAAATGAACATGCTGCTGACTGGCATGGTTGTGACGTTCACCTCCTCTGTTCTGATTTTGACCTCCAATCCTGCTGTTTCGTCCGTTCATTGCCCCGAGGAACCCACTTGGGATGGGTGAGCAAGGGAAGCTAAGTTTCGTCCGTTCAGCTGTAGTGTAGCGGACTGCAGCATAACCTTGATGCGTTCCTGCTCGAGAAGAAGATTGGGTGAATTTGCAAGTTCTTCCGCTGCAAAGAGGACGACTTTGGCATATGGGATGTTGAAGACCCTGTGACTGGCAGCTTCTTCCAACTTGGGCTCAAGATTGCATGAGGCAGAGGCATATCTTCCCTCACGCTCCCTGCGGTCTTGCTTTCTTTCCCACTCTTGACGCCTGCGCTTTTGCTCGGCTTCATCCTCAAGGGCCTTGCGCCTGCACTCGGCTTCATAACGCTCGAGCTCTTCCTTGTAGTGATTAGCCCAGTTCCACCGGGCTTCATAACGCTTGTTCTTCTTGAGTCGTGCAGCTTTCGCTACGTAGAAAACCATTTCTAAGGGCGGCTGGTAAATATATGTAGGAGCGGTTTTGTCAGCCGCCCCTATGAAAGGGTGGCTACAAATCGATGATTTGTAGAGGCGGTTCTCGGATCGTCTCTCTAAATCGATTTGTAAAGGCGATTTCTGAAGACTGAAGCCGCCCCTACAAATCGATTTGTAGGAACGGTTTGGTAATACCAGCCGCCCCTACAAATCAATTTGTAGGGGCGGCTACAGTACCAACCGCTCCTACAAATCATTTTTTTCCAAAAAAAATTTAAATTTATAATTCAAATTGACTAGAACATATATTTTCAATTAGCATTAAAAATAAACAAGTAAACTAACCAACCTTGTTCTGTCTCGAACCATATAAATTTTAACTATATGAGATATATTTACATATGGAGCAAACCATTTTTATATGGAAAGGAATTTTCATAATTTCGTCAAACATACCATAGCCACACACAAAGAACTCAGACAAAAAAAAAATAGAAATACAAAGTAAGGCAGATTGTATCATCTTTGCCTTAAACCACTATAGGAATATATAGAAATTACTGAGTACACCAAGTTCTGACCACTGGTTTACGTAGACATTAAGAACAGCATCACCTGGACCAGCTGTGTTTCCTCCAATAGCAGCCATAACTCCATTGAAGAATATGGCAACGGTCTGTATGAAATAATGAACTGGTAAGGATATAGAAGATCAAATAGGAACAAGTGAAAAAAATTAAGCTATCCAAGTAATTACCTGCTCATTAGCAGTTGGAGGAAGTCCACCCACATAGACACGCCGAGCATGTCGCGTAGCCTGTTGTGTCATGGCTTGTGGCTGAATAACAAGGGGGTTGAACTGATGCAAGGCAAGCAAAATTAGAAAGCAACAAACATGATCAAATGATACAAGATACAAGTGTGTCCAAGAAACAAGGACAGTTGATTATCAAATTTGGATGCCAGATCATGACAGAATGACCATTCATGGTTGAAACTCAAATTAAAAAACCCAAAAAGGAAACACATGGATTACCTGCCAGCAGCCAAATTATACAAGTTTGGAAGCACCCCAACCCCGGTAATTGGAGCAGTGACACCAGGAAGCTGACCTGCAATTCATCAACAGAAGAATTTATGAAAATCATATTTTCCCCTCAAAACTCCAATCAGCTGTAGCATATTGTTTCAAGAAAATCAAACTATGAAACTACCAAAAATGTAACACATGCTGATATGAAGACGAACAAGATATCAAACCAGAGAGTGTCCTCCACAAAATGAAATTAGTTCTTCTATACAGAAGAAATCTGATTCCTAACGAGGATAACTCTTTGTGGAGACAGTTCAGATTAGAGCGGAGTTGCCAAATGCCAAACTCGCTAAAGAATCTTAGGCATAATAAAGTTCAGTACCTTATCAGAACCACTAGTTTAAATATTAACATTGATATATAAAGCTTAAAGAACAATTTAAATATCATTTTTATTAATTTGTACGCATATTAACTAATCATAGATGAGTAATTCCAATTATGGATAAATATATGTAAAGAAGAATCATACCAGGGATAGCACCAGCAGCAACAATAGGAAGTGCCTGTTGTGGAGGTGTTTTGTCAAAATATTGCACCAATTTCCAGAATCCCTTGAAACTAGCAGAAGTAAACTACCAAGACAGAATCAGAATATAATTCATGTTTTGGTATGCTCAGATGAGAGCCAACAAATACAACACAAAGTCACTAATAAACACCTCAAGTGGTGCATGACTATGGAAGCGCAAAGAGTTCTAGTTACTAAGTTTTTCAAAAAAATTAGGCAACTTAGGAATATCAAGGAATACCACTAATGATTGACTATGGAACTCCAAGATTGAGGTTGGATGTGTTAGTTTGTTGACTAAATTAAGTTGTAGAAATATTATAAATGCCTAATAAACTAGTATATATAAGCAAAATGGTTCACCTAAATGATCTCGGCATGTGATTGTGTCTCGTGCTAGAGAAAAAGAAATAATTCAAAAAGTCGTGTGGTGTAATTATGAACACAAACAAGCAAAATCGTAATGCTGTGTAAACCATGGTACTAAGCAGGTACAAAGGTTGGCAAAGATTGACACAGCTCCATCAGTCCACAAGCAAAAAAAACTAATC